TATAGCTAAGGGATTAGCTTGTGCAAATAGCTGAGGGATTAGCTTGTGACTGGTCACAGAAAAAGATGTTAAAGTAAAGGCCTACACATCCACAAGTCAAGGTGCCTCACTTGTGGATGTGTAGGCCTTTACTTTAACATCTATTTCTGTGACCAGTTACAAGCTAATCCCTTAGCTATTTCAATGCTAAATTACTAGTTTCCTCTGTAGATATGTAGGTTCTGACTTTAACATAGCCATTTCTGTGACCAGCCACAAGCTAATCGCTCAGCTATTTGCACAAGCTAATCCCTTAGCTATATCAATGCTAAATTACTAGTTGCCTCTGTGGATGTGTAGGTTTTGACTTGAACATAGCCATTCCTGTGACCAGTCACAAGCTAATCCCTCAGCTATTTGATATGTAAATTCCTTTGTCAAGGTGCCTCACTTTAAAAGTCGCTACAAATCTTAACATCGTTCATTGAAGCTCTGTCGTCCCGACAGGTCTGTACCTTTCACCTGAAGACGGCCGCTTGCGTTGTGGCCGAAACGTCGTGAGAATTTTATTGTTATTTTATTATTTTATTCTCATTCTACGTGACTTTATCGAAAGAATCAAAGAAGTTCGATAAGTTTGAAAGGCTGCCGGTCAAGCAGCCTGCAGGGCAGCACAAGGTGGCAGCACAAGGTGGCAGCCAGCATTTTGCAGCAGCCGGATATCCGGTTATCCCGATTAGCGACTTTTCCAAAATTTCAGGGGCGGCTGAGCCTCCTCCCCAGCACCCCCTGTGGCTCCGCCCCTGGTGAGAATGTATTTTATTTTTATTATTTCCCTTCTACGTGACTTTACCGAAAGAAGCAAGAATATGAATCCCTGCAGTCACGAAAGCTTTAAATCGAAACTTTTAAATTCATTACGGTCTTAGGATGCATCTGGTCATCAGAAAGAAAACAGCTACTTTCCTGATCGGTGAAGCCACAAAGAATAAATACATCACTTACAAGACTCAGATATTACAGAATTCACACTTTATTTCTTACAAATAATTCCCCCTTTTACCTAACAAAATCCTCACTTAACAATCTCAAGACTTATTTTTCAAAAGGATCCTGCATTGGGATAATTGAGGAATCCCATGAATGAGTGTCTGGCTTCACGTGGGAGAAAAACTGAGTGACCGGAGAAACACACTCATAGTTCGTACAAGCACACTAACATTTTTTATGGGTAAAAGTTCAGCACCCAGAGGCAGTTGGGTATTTTCGAAGCTCAATTTGTGTTTGAATATTTATCAAACTCCTTGATATTCTGCACTCGACCTTTAAAACGTTTTTATATTGTGGTCACCGAGAACTGCACAAACCCTGCTCAATATAATACTGACACCAAATGTCTCATTGGGTGGACTGCTATTGGCAGAGCAAGAAATCTGTAGGTGAGCTATAAGATTTTACTGCCTATGTATTTGTGTACATCGTTTTGCCCCCGATAGCTTATAACAGTGTTTGTAAATAGGGGGATAAGCATTGCCCCACACTTCTTTTAGTGGAAATCGATTTTGAACGAAAACAACTAAACGTAACTATTTTTTTGATTTTACCAGGTAAGGCGCACTGAGCTATATAGCTCTTTTTCAGAAGCTACCTGACCACGAATGATAGCTCAACGAAGTGGCTTATCTTGTGGACATTTGTAGCTACCAAATACTCTCAACGCGGGTTTCTAAATGTGGAGGAAAAAATCGGAGGACCTGGGTAAAAATCCACACAAGCACGGGGAGACATGCAAACTCCAATTTAGAAGCGTCAGCGTCGAGATCAAATCCACGACCTCCGGTATAACATCCCGCCACCGTGCCACTGTTTGTCCTGACCTCATAAACTGGATATTATTCAACCATATAAAATCCTATGTATAATTTTGCTGTGCTTAATGTATATTTTTCACCAATCACCCCAAATGGAACTTGATATTTTACCTGCCCCCCCCCAATGGCGTGGTTACACCTGTGTGGTCATGTAAGAGATGTCTCGTGTACTAAACCTATTGTATCTCTACTTCTCTATCTCCATGTATCCCCGTGGTGGCGCCATGTAGCACGTGTCGTGTCTTCAACTCCTTGTGATTATTCCATCTTGTTTGCGACTGCTCTCCTGATATCCTGGCGGAGCGGTTCCAGAGAGCACGTGCGCAGGATGAGATTCAGCACTTGTGTTCAGCTTCTTTGCGTAAGCTCATCCTTTCTCACACCAGGCACTGGTGCAAGGAATTAAATGGACCCCCCCTCTTCACTCTTTGTAGCTCAGGGTCTGGGCTCCATTGCAGTTGAACTGCCTGCGTACTCAATAGCTATTCCACCACTCTACCTGGTACAGTATTCAAAATCTCCTGCCACATCTGCCTCTATCTTAGCTTGAGAGCTCCCTCTGTCAATGAAAACGATTAAAGCACATTAAGAAAAGCATGTCCAGTGGCATTCAGTGGTGTTTCTGACCAAGCATGAACGAAATGTGCCCCACTGACAACACTGTGTAACCATTTTTTTGTGTTTGTTTCTGGGTAGGAAGTGTTATTTCCTAATTGCTTATGCCTTAAAAGTACAGAAAATGGCTATTATTCCTCACAAACTTTGCTTTTGTGACCAGGACAGTGATATTTTGAAATTTACCTATTTTCCAGAACATTCCAGATAGATTCAGTGCTGAGTAAACTTGGAGTAACTTCTAGAACATTCTAGAACTTTCCAGTAATATAAATAGCAGTATAAATACAGGGGGCTTAAGCCCACCAGTTCAGTTTAGTTCCAGCTGCCTAAGTGGATACATATCTGCATTTTTCTGAGATGGCATCAAGAGGCTGCAAGCATCTGGCAGACGCATTTTGCTGTCTGCGGCCAATTTATCAAGACAAGAGCGAAAAAGTACTCTGTGGAAGCATCTGCTAAGATGTGTGAGTCCTTAAGGCATATTTCGACATGCCTGTCAGGGATCAAGACAAACCCTGGGCACCTCATTTCACCTGCGAGCAATGCAAACAAACTTTGGAAGATGGACAATTGTTGTTGGGAATGTTGTTATAAAATTTGTTTAAAAAAATTATTTGTAAAAGTTTTTAATTCAAAAATGTTTTAGTTTTCAATGTTATTGAAAAAATATATCATATATGAAAAATGTTGCGAGAATCGCGTACACATTAGTCATGGGTGAAATAAATGATTTTTGTCAGATGGTAAAGAGGGGAAAAGAGAGCCATGAAGTTCTCTTTTCCAAGAATTTGGCAGGAACCCACTGACCACTCAAGCAACTGCTACTTCTGCATGGTGGACCCTTCCAAAGTAGGACTGGCAAGAATGCACCTACTATCACGTATCCGGACCTTCCTTCATCCATCGCCCTGGTGACACACTGCCATGAGCTCCCCGTACCCACTCCTCCGGAGAGTCTTTAGAAGAGAGCAGCAAGTCAGAGAGCGAGTAAGACGTTGTAGATCCAGATGACAATTTCAGAGGTGAAGCTGAGAGAACCCCATACTACCCCAACCAAAAATACCTCAACGACTTGATCAGAGATCTTGGTCTCACCAAGTCCAATGCCGAGCTTCTGACGTCTATGCTCAAGCAGTGGAACTTGTTGGATAAAAGTGTGCAAGTCTCAGATCAGAGGAAGCGTCACCCACCTTTTTGCAGCTTCTGCACCCGTCAAGATGGGCTCTGCTTCTGCCACAATGTGACCAGTCTGTTTGAGGCAATCGGAATCGCCTGTAACCAGAATGAGTGGCGCCGCTTCATTGACAGCTCATCCAGGAGCCTCAAAGCCATGCTGCTCCATAATGGTAACAAGTACCCGTCTATTCCACTGGCTCACTCAGTGCACCTCAGAGGATTACAACAGCATCAAGACCTTGCTGGACGCCTTGAAGTCTGATGAGTACCGCTGAGAGGTCATCGGAGACTTCAAAATGGTGGCATTCCTGATGGGTCTCCAAGGCGGTTTTACCAAGTTTCCCTGCTATCTTTGCCTTTGGGACAGCAGGGACACCAAGGTGCACGACCACAGGCGGGACTGGCCACACCGGACCGAGTTCTCTGTGGGGAGGAACAACGTAAAGTGGGAGCCACTGGTGGACTCCCGGAAGGTGCTGATGCCACTACTGCACATCAAATTGGGCCTTATGAACAATGTCAGAGCTGTAGATAAGGAGTCGGCAGCCTTCAAATACCTTCAAGACTTCTTCCCTAAACTGCCTGAGGCAAAGGTCAAAGCCGGTGTCTTCGTTGGACCACAGATAATGATGATCCTGGAGTGCAATGAATTCCCCAAGAAGCTCACGAGTAAGAAGCAGCTTGGAACATTGTCGCAGTGGTTCGTGTCTTCCTGGGCCATCAGAAGGTCAAAAACTATGTGGAGCTGGTTGAGACTGGTGAAGAACTACATCACAATGGAGTGTAGGATGTCCCTCAAAGTCTATACCCTTGATGCCCATCTTGATAAATTCAAGAACATGGCAACGTACTCGAAGGAGCAGAGCGAGTGCTTCCACCAGGATATACTGGACTTTGAACGCCGCTACCAAGGACAGTGTAACGAAAACAGGAGATATTTGGGGGTTGATTCTTTAAAGTGATTAACAGTATTATCGTAAATCTCGAAAAACTACTAACTTCTAAATCTTTTGAAGTCATTTTTTTATTACTTTATTATAAATGCATGTTAATTTTCACTCATGTTTTTTTTCTATGTGAATGAAAAGACACAAATTCGCCCGTTTTCTCATTGAAAATAGGTAAATTTCTAAATATCACTGTCCTGGTCACAAAAGCAAAGTTTGTGGGGAATATCCATTTTATATACTTTTTAGGCATAAGCAATTACGAAATAACACTTACTACCCAGGAATAAATATTTTGTTACATAGTGCAATTGGCTATTTCTGAAAATAACAGTTCTTTAGAGCCTTTTCTTTAAACAATGTGTACATAACAGGATGTGCAATGCACGTAAGAAATTGCACAGCATTGTTGAAGCAATACGCATTTATTAGGAAACATACAACAGGAGTCTATATTATTTGGTTCTTTCGGTAAAGTCACGTAGATAGAAAATAAAAAAGTAATAAAAATCTATTTTTTTTCTGAATCCATTTGATTATTTTCTATCTACGTGACTTTACCGAAAGAACCACAGAATACGAATTCCAGCAGTCACGAAAGTCTTAAGTCAAAATTTAATAGGAGTCTATTTATAGCCACAATGTCAAGTCATTACATGGTACATAGTGCAGAATACAAGCACGCAATTCTTTAAAGAATGTAAAAACGAACATCACACTGCATGTAACCAACCAGATTCACCTAACACAATGTTTGGGTTTTCTGTTTTGCTATCATACGAAAAAAAAATCACAATTCTCTCTGTACATGGGGGTATCACAAGTTGCATGTGTGTATATATGTTTATGTATAGGTGTTCATATGCACATTTGTAGCGATATGCTATTATAGACAAATATCCCTTCATAGCCTCCATATACTGTCCGCTTAGGTGCTGTAAGCACACACATATTAAGCCCGACGAGGAACACGAGATGGTGTGGCCTGCACCACACCTTGCTGCGCTCATCTCCCCAGCGTTGATGCTCACACCACAGCAGGTACTCATTTAAGGCCGAGATTGACCTAGTACAAGCTTGCTAACAGCACTTTCCCCCAACAGTACGTGTAGGTTACACATGGTCTCCTTTGTCTTGGCGCATCTTTGTCTTCATATGCATTTGTGTGGAAACGAGTCTGTGCATGTCTGCATGTGTGCCTGTGATGTGGGAGGTAGAGGGCCCGTGCCAGGCAGCTATTGGCGCCTATGTGCGATCGCAATGTACGACTCGTGAAAAAATCCCCGTGGGTTCCTTCCCGTCATCCAGTGCCGCCAGGAAGCCCTCCTCCCCGCGACGCTTCGCCAGAGCCGCCAACGACTTGAATGTACGGGGCTCCGTGATCGAAAGGTCAGCGAGCATCTTGCGGTTCAGCATCACCTGTGTCTGCCCACGGAACATGAATGTGTTAGTCCCATGCCAGATTCATGACCGAGTGGAGCACAGATGGGAGTACGTCGTTAATTGAGGGGTCCCTGTGCTGTGCTATGATGTTACGCACTCATATACTGCTCACCTTCAGAAGGTTGGTTTTGAAATGGCTGTATTTCAGCCCGTGCTCCAAGATGCCAGCAGTGGCTCGTGTGATCCACAACTGAGAAAAACGACAACATATTACTCATGACAACAATGTGGGACACACCAGCCTTTTATTCTACAGGTGAGACATTCATGTTGAAGCAATGTTTTGTAGTTGCATAGGCTTATGTAGATCCACATCCCATTAAAGGAAGGGGATGGACAGATATGTACAAAGTTCAATTTCCAATATAACCACATATCCCAGATCCTGGTATAGATAAGCCCGTCGTGAGTAAGCATTTCAAATGTATTGTAAAGGGGAGCATAAGAGTAAGAGGCATATGATTTTAGATAAAATCATTTTTTTATCATGGGTGCTTGCGAACAGCATTTGCCCTAACAGTCTGTTAAGGCTACATAGGGGCTCTTTGTATTTTATGCTTTCAAATCCATACAAGTATTTAAATAAGTTAACGGATTACTCATTGGATTTGTTAAATTATGAACAAGGTTGACATCTACTACGTATATTATTCAACATTATGACTTTCCCAATTATACTGCAACTATGTTTAAAGACTATGTCTAAATGCAAAATATCGACATGGCATTGGATGATGTCATATATCCTTTACCAAATCACTGCATTCTCATCTTAAAAGTTTCTTAGAAACGTAAGTCAAAGCAATGTATATCCTTGCTGAAACGAGCATGGGGAGCAGTCCTCAATTCCGTTCGTGACCCTAAGCCGATTGTGTAAATTCCACATTCCAAGGCGGTGCTCGGTTCTTCGGAAGCAAACCTGCAACGTGGCAGTACATGACAAACTACTGTCCGTACAATGAGCATCACGCATGATTAGAACAAGTGAATCGGTAGATCGCGGGCTATGAGAGTCGCGTGCTGTTTGATGCATATAAGTTAATTGTTCAGTGGCTTTGCGAGCCCAGTTTGTGACTTGTATGTCGACCTTATTTCGCACCGTACGTAGCCAACCCTGTTAATCGGAGGTAGAGGGAGACTAACTTACGGTGCGCATGTTTCGCCTTCGCAGATGCCGAGCCTTGGTGGCATAGACGAAAGAGCGCCGGACCGCGCGCACGGCCAGGCCATAGCATCGGTTCTTGCGTCCTCGGAAATGCTGTCCAGATGCACAATTATATACACACACACACTCTACAACGTGGAATCCATGAAACCTGGACAGTAAGACATGCACAAACTCACTGGCTTTCCAATTAGAAGTCACAGACACATTACTCGACATACAGATGTAAACAGTATTTCTTCATCTCATTCCCTAAATATATTTTTTTCAAGTGAATAAGATGTAAAGTTTATGATCCTGGGTGAATATATTTGTTCTTCCAATGATGGATTTTAATCCCTCTATTTGAATTTCCCCAACCAAATGGGAGCGGCACTGACCCAACCGACTGTTCGATGTAAATACGTGTCAGCTTTGGTTCTATTCGGTAAAGTCACGTAGGTAACGTGACTTTACCGAATAGAACCAAAGAGTATGGATCCTTGCAGTCACGAAAGCTTTCAATCTAGAACGTGTCAGCTTGTTTGAGAATTACTGTCATTGCAGTTTCAACACATAGGCCGACTAAACACCAGATTCAAGCACTCTCGACGAAGAGGCAAATCGCCAGGCATGAAATCGCATTTGTAAACACGCAAAGACGCGTCTCAAATAGAAAATACATAAAAAAATCCATTGACGAATCTCAGGAAGTGACTGAGGCACAGGCACCACTGGCAACAGTAGGCCGTATAGTACTAATGAGTCAATAATAATGATATCGTAAGATCTAAAGTTATCCAGTATTGTTTCGAGCAAGCCTGACCGCTGATAAGACTGCGTCAAACCCGCTTGAAGAGTGCGCTCGCGTTGAATCAATCCTGCGGATATGATGCACTCCGAAAAGGCCGTGCGGCCGATTGGCTTATTACTACAGTACTCTGTGCGGCGAGACAGACGTACGAAAGCGAGTACCGCTTATTTATGCCGTCAATTATATTCTCCGCAAGGACGCCAATTAATATTTCGCTTTACACGAGTGACAGATCGAATGGCGCCAGCACCTGCGAATACTTGAAGAGCTCCTTCGCCCGCCAGTAATGGTTATCACTCTTCACCCTGACCAAACGACTTAAGGACAGGAAGACCATTGCGAAGGTGACTCTTGATGGGCCCCGCCCCAATTAAACTCTTTTTGCCAATTAATTAAAGCCCTGCACACCGCGACGTCAATGGGAATGCCTCAAACGAGCGCTCCACGTGCGTTCTGCCCTCCACGCCAATGACACATGATGTGGGTCCCCCACTTCCCCTTCAATAACCCGGGCAGCGCAAGGATTTCCGGCGAGGAAAATAATTCCGGGCCGAATAAAAGTTCCGGGGCTTTGAGGGGTTGGCCAAACCCCCGTATTGTCCGGGAATCTTGATCGGAATTGACGTCGATCTCGATTGAAAGCAATCCGCGAGGTTTAAATGCTGGAACAGGATGGTTTACTAATATAAATTATGAATGAAATGAAAATCCCTTTACAGTTTCCCGTCATTAATTTGTCCATCCAACAAATTGGACACACCAACGTTTAATCGATCGGCATGTCGCCTTTGGTGGGGTAAAGTGTGGGTACTTGAGGATGTCTCTGGCTCTCTAGAGCTCTCTCTCAAGGAGGCACATCCGCTAGCAGTGGTGTGCTTAAGCAAGAGCAGGGATTGTCCTTTTACATTTGATGTTCTTTTTTTCACTCCACATTTGCCAATCAAGTTGGCATCTATGCACAATTGAGCATGTCTGGCTCCAAGTTAAATGAAGTCTCTTTGAAATATATTAAATGTATTTGCACACAGCGTTGATATACGGTGCTTTTTTTCTGGAAGATTTAGCTGTTTTTTTTCTTTCCTGGATGTTTCTGTTGGGCGTCGTCACTTTAAGATGTTTCTTTGTACATGTTTTTGTTTGTTGCGGTTGCACCCGAGTCAAGAGCTGCATGGCTCACAGGGCTATTCCTAATAAATGAAAATGAAAAACTGAAACCGAAAAATTGTAAAATGTTGCGCTGCACGTGCAGGCCACGTGCGCCCCCTGCTGATGTCCCACCACCTCCAGGCGCCAGAATTTTAGTGAAACAACAAAGGTTCCGGCCTGAATAAAGGTTCCGTTCCTTATACGGTATGCACTTTTTTTCTTTAAATTACTGTACAATTAAAAACAACGATTACCCCGAGAGATGTTATTGGGGACACTCTAGAGAATTTAACTTCGTCGCCGCCGTTTGTTTACCCTCGAGATAAACGCATTTTAGAATGTTAATATTGGGCGAATGCGCGTGACGTGTCGCGTTCCGGGTGAAACACGTGGGCCTCAATCCTGGAGCGTCCGCATGGTCACGGACGAGAGTGAAACGCTAGATTACTTCTTCTCTGGTTCTTTCGGTAAAGTCACGTAGAATGAGAATAAAATAATAAAATAACACAATAAAATTCTCACGACGTTTCGGCCACAACAGCAAGCGGCCGTCTTTTTAACGTGTTTAGCGTAACATTATCAACGGCGCAGACGCAAAATAAAAAACCACCCTATACACACCGCTATGGGGAAAAAGAAGCAGGGTCCAAACTTGGGCCGCTCTATAATAAAAGACCGGAATAATGCCAGCAGAACTCAGCGCAAGAACGACTCTTGGGTGAGTTTGTTCGCGAGTGGATGCTGTTGCTTGCTGCCGCGTGCGTTGCGTGTCGAACCTCACCCCCGGTTGCCACGTTCATTCCACTCGGCGCTACTCCTCCTCCACACATAACTACTCCTGCCCGGTGTTGCGAAAGGTCGTCGTCGTAGTAATATTAATAATAATGATAACAGCGCTTCCGTGAAGGCATTAACCGGAGAGCTTGTGCACCACCGCGTGTGTCGGACCACGGATTTAAGGCCTTCGAACGCGGCAGTCGTGCTTCTGCTGTGGAGGAGACAGCCACCCGGGTTTCAGTTCCCGCTCACGGCCACCAACACCGGGTGACGATTATCTGAACCGTTCATGGGCCTCCCCTAGGTCGACTCGGCCTCAAATGAGTACCCGGTGCGGTGTGTCGTAAACCATCGCCACTGGGGGAGACAAAGGCGGCCGGGGCGTGGTGCTGGTAGCCACCCCAAACCCGCTCGTGCGCCACAGTGCCGGTAGCCTTCACAGGCGCTCGCTACTAACAGCACTTGCCCCCTGCAGTCTGTTCAGGCGACACGTCTGTCCGTATAATATATACACACACAATTATCACGAGCCTGTTGAGAATATTAATAATGCATTAGCGGACGATGTCTGCTTCACGCAGCCGTGTCTCCACATAACTGCAAGTATTTTGTATACGCTGGCCCAAGGCCGCACGTCCGTCTGGGAGTAACGCTTTCTCCTTAACTTCGCTCATGATCTAGTTCTGTATTAGTGTACTGTGTAATTTTGAATCGAACTAGGACACCATGTCGTCCGTGCATTTTGCAAGATCGACAGACAGGTCACCAGAGCAAAGCCTGACTGCCGATTGTTTTTATTTTAGTTTTTTATTGATTTTATTTCGGTATGGCCCTGTGAGCCATTCGGCTCTTGAATCGGGTGCAACCGCGACAAACAAAAAAACACGAACAAGAAAACATCTTAAAGTGACTATGTGACTGTGCAAAACAGAAAATCCATGAAAAAACACAGCAATTGTGTGGCACTGTCTATCGAAACCGACCCAGAGTTTTTTTGCTGGTCTTGAAACCAGTGCGGTTGACACTATGCAAGTCCTATCACAAGTCCGTGTTGCTGATGGGATGCGTAAAAAAATATATACTCTTATTTATGTGGAGAAGGCATCATCATCATCACGATCCATGGGGCAGATAGCCCATGTACATTTCGTCATTTGTTTCCACCTTCCTCTGCCGTGTGACAAATGTGCTCAAGTAGGGCCACATCATCCTGGCACCAATCTCTCATGATGTCGTCGGTCTTCCTCTCTTCCCCTCTTTATGGCTCCTTCATCGGTGCCGTGTTGTCTGCTAATTTACGTCGCTGCTTATATTCTCCACAACGCAGCTCGTGACGTTAGAGCTGTCTGCATGGCCAGCACAGCGCCACGGTGTCGTCGTCGTTTATTCCCCTCCTTCCTGCCGTCTCATCATAACAGCTGCACACGAGCGAGCTGAACGACGGCTATGACTGGGGCCGCCTGAACCTGCAGTCGGTGACCGAGCAGAGCGCGCTCGATGAGTTCCTCAGCACCGCCGAGCTCGCCGGCACGGAGTTCACGGCAGGCAAGGCTCCTCCGAGAAAAACCAAACACGCGTCTCTCGCATCGTTACACTACGCCTGAGACCAAATGGCTGCGGCGCGGGGGTTTTGAGCCTGATCAGTGCTTGGGCGAGTGGCCGCCGCACGTGCGTGGTTTGTCACAGGTGGCCGCTAGGATGGCGCCGTCACCTTTCTAGAATCTCGCCTCGGATGCGGAGGAAATCTGCTGGCGAACAGAGTGGAACCAGCATGAACGTCCTGCGGAACAAGCACCTCATTCGAGCCCCAAATATCACACCTCCTGGCTTTGACGTTCATCGAAAACACTGCTGTAACAGGCTGCTGCGCATGTCTCCTTCATGAATGGGAAATTAAAGACCATATAGTAAACCACTGTAGTCTGCGCTCCTTCAAAGGAGGAGGAATAGCAAAAAGACGTGAACTCTCTCCTGAAGCCCTATCGTGGCTAGCAGACCTCGACATTGGCGTTAAGCTCCTGAACACATTGCCCATCATACACAAGGATAGAAATAGAAGAGGTGGCTACGGAGGCTACGTGGTAGGGTAGTAGGAGGCAGTGCAGTGAAAGCCGAATAATTTTTGAGTTGTGGTTCTGTGCTTCCATGTCTGTGGCTCTCCCTGGACTGACCAGCATGGTGTAGTATGGTCTAACAACCTCACCGTGACCACCACATCATGGGGGGATGCCTTCATGGATCATTGGGTTGACAAAGGGTTGTAAATTATTATTATGAATTAAAAACTCTCAGACTGGAATGTCTTAACAGTTCACAAATACGAAGGGGGCATCACAGCGATACACCACTCTGCTACTCCTGACACACAATTATCTGGCTCATCCACCTCAATGTAAAATTATAGGTGTTGCTCTACATCAACATCAGCCACCCAAAGAAGATTATTATAATAGACACTAACTCATCAGAATACTGAAGCCTTCTTTCTGCGCTGGCATAAACCATTTCTGAATGAAAGGGTACATGTATTGCTTTTGCTGCGCACTTAACTAACTAGTGTAGAACATGGTGTTTTAATGTTATTTATGAAATTCAGAGAAGCTGAACATCAAGGTGGTGTCTGAAGTCGCACGGACGGGCGTGCTTTCGGACGAGGAGAGTCAGAAGATGAAGCTGCTTCATGAAAGCAACAAGCACTTCCTGAACATCCCACGACGGTAGGGAGACACTCTTGTCAGGTTAATGTTAGTGCGTTATAGGTGTCATTATGGTCAGTGGGATTGCAGCCATCATCGCTTCCTTCCGCTCGGTCTTTGTGGTTGTAAAGTTGACGACTGACCTTCGTGGTTTGCTCGTATACTATCTCATCATTGGCTTTGGATCTTCTCATCGGCCGCTGACATCTGGATGTTGCTACAATGCCTGTTGTTAGTGTTGCGGTTAATGTTAGCATTTCCATTGTGTTTACGGTGAAGGATTACACTTTGGTACGTGTTATCTTGACGTGAAAAGCTGAAAGCTAACGTGAGTGTAGCGTCCATTGGAGTTAATGTTAGTGGAGAGGTCACTTTCAGCTATTGCTTGATTTTTCAACTAACCCAGGTTCAAACTAATGGTTTCAGCAGTGCCATCCCATTGCTCTGACAGTGTTAACCCCAACAGCCACATGTCCACGTATGCTCGGTTTGTTAGAAATGCGAAAGCACTCTGACACTATTTATACGGATCCAGGGTCTTTCTTTCCATGCTGCAGGGCGGCCGCTTGCTTACGTGGCATTGAGTTGACCGCTTGACCCTCTGTGTGTGTGTGGCCAGACCCCGCTGGGACGCGTCCACCACAACTGAAGCGTTGCAACTCAACGAGCGGGAGGACTTCCTGGCGTGGCGCCGCCAGCTCGCCATGTGAGTGCCGAAGCCTTTTCTCCTCCACAAATGCATTTGGAATCTTTAATTGTGTTGCCGTGTTTTTAACGGATGTGTTGGCTCAGGGCCTTGGTATGGTGCCCTGGGTAGTAGGAGTGTGAGTGTGAGACGAGGATGCGAATGGTTCATTGGTTAGGGTGCCTGGCTCGCCATCGGAAGGATTCGAGTTGAAATCATGATCTGGATGTAAGCATGTGTGAGTTTAAGGTGTGACATGCATCAGAATAACAAATTTGGCTCGCGATCAGAAAGTTACATTTTCAAATCTTGGTTGGGGATTTTAGTGAGTATTAAGTGATTTCCTGCTTAAATGAACATTGAGGCAGTTCCCATCTCCTTTTTACACCCCTGAGCCTGTCAGGGAAATTTCAGATACGGGGGGGAAGTAGTAAGTCCATCCATAGCACAATCACTGTTGACTATGAGTGTGTGCGTGAGCATTATTATTATTAGTCTCTGATAGTGTCACTGTTAGTCTGAAAGCATGTGTGTTTGTCACTGTTTGTGTATATGAGAAATTGTCTAAATATTTGGGCAAAAGTTGCAGTAGTTTAGCGCACTACACTATGAACCCTGGGAGCTGAGTTTGATTCCTGGTGGCAGCTATCATCGGTGGCGAGTGATCTCTCAACCAGTCCTGGGCCCTCTTTCACAAACTCAGACTGACCAGCATGGTGAAGAATGATCAAACATGACCGACGTGGCGCAGGGAGGCAGGCCTTCATCCATTCGGTGGATTGCTAATTGGGCTGTACTTTATTCATTATTATATAGGTCCATCACGAATGTACTCGTGAATGTATGTTTGATGCACCAGTGTTGAAGATGTATGAGGGATTCTCCCTGTGTAAGAGTGATGATGGGTGTGTGTGCACTTCTTCCAGACTCCAGGAGAAAGAGGAGCTCATTCTCACTCCATTTGAGAGGAACCTTGACTTCTGGAGGCAGCTGTGGAGAGTCATCGAACGGAGGTGACTGTCTCCTCTTGACGAGTGACTGACCACTTGTTAAAACTGCCCTTGTCTTCATTGAAGTATTCCTCGTGTGCACCAGGCCTGTGACCAAACCCCCCTAAATGGGCTGGGGAAGCTAAGCATTGTTGAGCCTGGATAGTTCTGTGATGCAGTGTTTGAATGTCAATGGTAGTAAAGTATAGTGTTCCTAAATAATAATACGAAATTGAATATGAATGTTTAACACGCAGGCTTTTGCGACGAATATCATAATACAGTTTTTTTTGGGTTAGATCGCGTAAATATATAAAGGTGGCAGGTTTAACGACACATATATTTACGGGATCGAACCCAAATAAACATGTATTCTGGATGAATAATATTGAACGTGAGATGTTAATGAATTAACTTTTCTTTAAAATCTCTTACCACATTGTCTTCTTTTTCTCATATTTTGCTGTCGCCCTCCCTCTATTCCTTCTCCACGTCATCTTCCCCCTTCAACTCCATCCCTCGCAGTGACGTTGTTGTTCAGATTGTGGATGCAAGAAATCCACTCCTGTTCAGGTGTGAAGATCTGGTACGTTTTGCCCAAGCTATTGCTGTGATTGCTTAAAAGTGCAGGTTCTGTGTGCCTAAATTCACTGAAGAGGTTTGTAGTCAGGAATGACTACACGGTTGCGTGAAATACTGCCGCTTTGAATAGTACTGCTGCAGACAATTGATGGTCCTAACTCTATCCCGTAATCCTAACTCTGTATCTCCTTATACATGATTATCATGTACCCATTAACACTCCTGTTGCCAAAGCCAATGCGGATATGGCATTTGCGGTACTCTTTAGAGCATGAGTATTTTTAACTGGAGTGAATGTTTGTAACACATTCATCAATAACACTACCTTTAAAAGAACACATAAGCACGTGTGCTATACACTATGAAGAGGGGTCATTTTCCAATAGTTGCCTGTTGTATACTCTTGAAGGCAGTGTTATTGATGAATGCAAGTGTTTGAGTTTTTTTACATTAACATCCGCGTCTTTGTCATTGGCTCCACTGATGCTTGACGGACATTTTCACTTTGACCTGGATGACGCCGGCCGGGCAGGAGCGGTACGTCACGGAGGTGTCTCCGCACAAGGACAACCTCATCCTGGTGAACAAGGCCGACCTGCTCTCCGAGGGCCAGCGCCAGGCGTGGGCCGACTTCTTCGAGGCGCAGGACGTCCGCGTTGTCTTCTGGTCTGCGCTGCACGAGGCCAAGCGGCTGGAGGCCGAGGCGCAGGTGCGGGGACGGCGGTGGCGGCACTACGCGTCCATTTATTCTTCACGCATAGTCAGCGAAGGACCGTTGCGGCAAAAGTGTGACCTCTTGCGACAGCATTTGCATTGACTGCTCTTGCTCTTTTTCACAGATGTCCAGTAGGGGCAGGGCAGAACGTTACAACAACAAATAATGCAAAAACACTATAGGAGTGAAAATTATAGGCAAGGTAAACAAATCACTTTAAAAAAATAAACAAATAAAACCAAAACAGTTTTTTTTTTATCTTACTAGGTGGAGAAAGTCCATAAGTTGCAATCATTTAGTCAGGTTGACTTTCACAACCAATATCCATAATAGAAACAATGTTGAGATCGCTTAAATATAAATGTGTTGTTAAACCTGCAATGGCCAATTAGTATGGTGTGTCACGTAAGCAAATCGTACTGATTAGTTACTACTTCAGCACACCGGTGTGTTGGAGACTAAACCCACTGTAAATGGGTTTACTCCATTGTAAATGTTGCTCATTTCAAGACACATATATTAACTATTTTCTATTAAACATTCCATTGTGCTGTTTGTTGCTGGCTGCTGGGATAGTTTGGCCATCGGGCCTGTGCTCAGACACCCTAATAAAAGCAGAGATTGCTGCTCATTTCCGCGATACCTTTGGAGCCTTCCCGTTACAACGGCGTTGTCCATGGACCATACATAAATTGCAATCCCCTCTCTTTTAGACAGGCAAATCAATCCTCAAGAGGGAAAATATAACTATTAAACACCGAATGGATTTTATACGTCGGTGTCAATCAACTTATTCTTTCCTTTTGAAGTTGCGGGACTAGCATCTGGGCAAGGGAATAATTATTGGACAGGTTTGTTAATTTTAACACGTAGGCTTTCGCGACCAATATTATTCGTAATATTTTTTGGGTTAGATCGCGTAAATATAAATGTGTCGAAACCCTCCACCACCTAGCACAGCCAATTATTAAGGGATTTGTCACGTAAATAAACGCCAATTAGTTACTACTTCAGCACACCGGTGTGTTGGAGAGTAAATCCACACCATTTACAATTTGAGTTCGACGTTTTGCTGGTAATTACATCCAGCATCATCGGGAGATTTGCCAGAATAGTGAAGCGATCACCTGCTTTCGGTCTTAAATAGGAGCAGTAGGATGACATCATCACGGAACCCAATCAGATGCAGAGATCAGAGGCGGTGGAGGGGGGGTTATTGTATATTTTAATAGATTAGTGATCAGTGAATTGGTATGTTTCCTCTATAAGGTTAAGTAGCGCAAGGCATCTGGGAAACACGTAGCCTCGTATATCCGTGGGAACCACAAGAGGTCATCGTTTGTCCAATGCAGGGCTTTGTAGTCCCATGCCTCTGTATTTATTCATATGTCCAGAAGGTGGTGCTCTTGAGCGGATGTTACTCAAGCTGACATGTCAATGTCCAGTCCAAGCGTTTACCTCGATAAGCAGTGCGTGGAAGAGTAGGCCAAATACCCTCCGCCAGCAGTGGTGTAAGCAAGCGACTTCTGGCATTGCGTGTTGTCGAGTCTGCTGCCAAGATGAATGGTGTGCAATCCCCACTCTCTTTGCCTTGCCCGCACACACTGTTATACACTGATATTTCCTCATTATCTATTGCTTTGCGGCTTGCAGATGGCAATGAGGTGGTAGTTGTTGCTAAGCTTTTCCTCTTTTTTGCTTTAGATTTATTTTATGCATTGCTCATCCTTGTGCTACTTTTGGTCTTTGATTTGTAAGTGGTATGACAGACAAACTTGTTTCATTTAGTCAATAGTATTTTCAAGGTGAGGATTATTAGTCGGCAAATGACCGTTAAGATTGAAAAAGGTTGGAGACGTCGCCAGTTTGTCAATAAATTGCGGTCGCTGAAATATGGCGAGTTCACACGAAAAGCAAACGGAAGCTTCGGTGCAAATAATGCACGCTTTAAGATGTGCTTCTGCGGCCATCTAGAATGTTCTTTCTGATATTACTAAGCCACTGGAGCTATGCACTTGTAAATCTGGATTGAAAATTAATTTCTGGAGAACTGCTTTTTGTGTTTAGTTTGTTGTCCTTTCCCCGCGCTTCCGATTAGCACGGTTGGCTGCGTACGGTGCGAAAGAAGTTCAACATGCATACACTCACCCGCTCACGGTTGGCTGCGTACGGTGCGGAAGAAGTTCGACAAACATAAATGCATACAGTACATACGAGGGCTCCAATCGTTGCCGACGTGATCCACGTTGTGGTCACAACCCCAAGCTGGTGCCGATCTCCCACCTCTCCCGGACGTGAGAACGCGGTCGGCGAGAAAAGCCAATCGTGGCCCGTGATTTCGAGTCACCGAGGGTCACGACGCGCGCCGCGCTTTCTCTCGCCACATTGCCCGTCGGCTCTCGTCACTCGCGTGTCAATAGTTCACCTCGCTTGAGCGATGGCTGGCAGTGGGATAGGCGGGTAGGCATTTCACGGCGTAGTTTGTTTGCGTCAAGGAGGGAAAAAAAACCCTGGGAAATTGACAATTTCACCCGCAGTGTGGTTCCCCGCGGGCTTGTTTATTCGCCAGGTGATTTGTGTGTCTATTTAAAAGAGCCTCGTGGAGTTCCCGTGCCGCATTGTGCCATTAAATCGATGACGGCGTCGGGAGTCTTTCTGTGTTGCACTCGATGCTGTGCTTGTGCCAGATTGTGTGGCGGTTAATAGTGGGTGAAGGTGTGTGGAGTTCCACGCGCACTGTGTTGCATGCATATTAACAAGAAATACATAGGGAAATGCGACATTGAGAATGTACAGAAAAAAAAATGGAGGATTAAATAGTCGAGTGTAGGAATGGCTTGGATCAATAAGTGGAATGACAAAGGGCTTTGCTTAAAAATAATGTAAGTACTTGTAAATGGTGCTCTTGGGCTTGACCATCAAAAGTGAATAGGAAGTGGTTTTAGTAGTAAACCCATCAACTATAAATGAGCTTTTTGAATGCATTCAGATGGTGTGTAATTACCATGGTGTAATGGTTAGTGCACTTGACTGCAATATAGAGGTCGCCCATTCAGAACGTTTGCAAAACTTACTCGCAGATTTTCACAGCCAATATTCTTAAAACTCTGTCCGCCCATAAATATGAGTGTGTACACTACAGTTTTGTCGATTGGCATGTTGCGTGTGTTGGGGTTACATTTGGGATGCTCCCACTTATTCCAAGACATCTGGCCAGTGTGGAAGATTAGGCCAATGCCATCTAGAGTTCGCAATGGTGGAGCCCCTTTTAGCAATTGCAGGGCTGCACCTTTACCGTAAATTACTCTTCATCTTGCTCTTTAATATCGGAAGCAGGAACACTTTTTCACAATTCTGCCAAATCGCCCCAATGAAGCTGGTTGTAATCACCAGCGAAATGTCGTACTCAATTGTAAATGTTTGTGGGTTTACTCGCAATCACACTGACATCCTGAAGTAATAGCTAATTGGCACGTTTTGTTTACGTGACAAACATTACTAATTGGCTGTGTCAGGTGGTGGTGGTTTAACGACATTTATATTCACGCGATCTAACCCAAAGAAACATTGTGAATATTGTGAATTACATGATAACGACTGCTCATGTCTGCACCCCAGGGCTTGGACGAGTATGAACAAGACACAGAGGGAGATGGCCCCGACCTCAGCGAGGAGGACACCGAGCCGGAAGATGGCACGAGGGAAGAGGAGGAGAAGGACGACGGAGGAAAGGACGACGCCAGAACAGCCGACAAAGAAGGCGAAGATCTCACGGATGGATGGGAGACGTGCGATGAAGATGAAGATGATAGTGATTTCAAGTCGGTGACCGACGGCGAGGAATCGTGGCAGGACCTGGGCATGGAGGAGAGCGCCAGCGCGCCGAGGGCACGTTCGCCCGTCAGGAACTCGAGTCGCTTGCTCCACCAGGACGAGCTGCTCCTCGTCTTCAGGAGCCTCCACGTCGGACCAAAAGTGAAGCGAGGGCAGACGACTATCGGACTGGTAGGTGCTGCGCCTGCTCATCGGTTTTTATTGACAACCGAGCGAAAGCTGTTTGGTGGCTGTTAGGTCCTGCTTGCCTCTCATGGAGTGTAAAAAAGTTTGTTCGTGCCGACGTTCTTAATCTGGTAAACAATGACCCCATGAAAATGATTGCTGTGCGATGGGCTTCTGTGTAGCGGGGTCCATGGTAAAGTGCAGCAGTGGATGAGCAGTCACGAGTAGGAATTTCCATAAGTATAGCCCTGTGATACCGTCTTATGTGGGTCATTATTGATCACGGGGTCAAGTGCTACTCTGCGAAAGTTCCACATGGACGCTTTATCTTATGACGGAACGCCGATAGCAAAATTGGAACAGTATTGAAATTGGGGATAAAAGACTAGAGCATTAACTAAAATGTTTTGTTGCTACATTTGGCATATTCCATCTGTACATTAAAACTTGTGATTTAATTTTCTTGTGATGAACACTTTTTGCAGGGCGTATAAAAAAATGTACACTCCCCAGTGTGGATAGCGGACTTTTGAAGCTCCAGTACTTGAGGAATTATTTATGACAGCCTCTCCCGAGATCATTCGTATGCTGCAATGCTGGTCGCTTTGAGGCTTCCAAATGGAAATGTATTTGTCTCCTGATAGGACACAGATAGCAGAATTGGTATGATACTTCGGAGAAAAAATTTGAAATAAAAAATTTGGAAAAAAAGGACGGAAAATTATACACGGAGCTTGAATGTTGGGAGAAAAAAACCACTTTGCAATGTTTCATCTTCGCCAATATAAATTATACACCTGTTGCTTTCTGGACAATAATTATTATAAAAATTAATCATTTAAATGATTTTGATTTAAAGCTTTCGTGACTGCAGGGATTCATATTCTTGGTTCTTTCGGTAAAGTCACGTTGAAGGGACACAATAAAATAATAAAAATACATATATTTTTATTATATATTTTTTAAAAATATATTTTTTTATTATATATTTTTCTGATTTTGTTGTTTCCCTTCTATGTGACTTTACTGAAAGAACCAAGAATATTAATACATTTAAATGATTTCAAAGTAGGAAATCAGACTATGACAGATCCACATTTATAGAGAATATAAAAAGTAATTCCGAAATTCATCCGTTCCCGTGCCCTCTTCCCCTCAGTAAAAAGAAATAGTAAAATATCCGACAGAACATTTTTTATTCCATTGTGTTACATTGAACGGACAGTTTTGGCTGCCAGTCCACGGTGATGACATTCATAAGATGGCTACGCTGTCCTCGGCAATTGATGCACCTGATCACTTCCCACATTGATTAATTATCATGCCCCTTCATCCATGGGACAACAATAATTGGTTTATCTACAATATCGGGAGATGCTTTTAGTGAAAGCACACACACACATTCCTGTATACTCCTAGGGAGTACTGCTGCAGCGGTTAGCGCATCGAACTACGAACCTGGAAATCTGTGTTCAATTCTCACCCGCTTGCTCGTTAGTGGTGAACGATATTCCTTTATCAACTTGCATGGACGAGCATTGTGGAGTATGGTCTAACTATCCCCGTAATGGACACAGCATTGCTAGGCTTTCATCCAGCAGTGCATCGGGAAGGTCTGTAAATAATTTTTTATAATTTATTATTATGCTACTTGCTGGGAGTTGGACTGAAAGTCACACGTTCTATACTCACACTGGGCTTCCATTTGCTGGTGTTTGTTATAGCCCGAATCCTGACCTACCACCGATATGTTTAATATGAATTTGCATTCATCCAGCAATTGCCTTTCACCGTTACGCCAGCAGTTGCATACTGGACTCAACTCTCCTTTTCTGCCTTGATGTCGTTTTGAGGGATTTTGCGATCTCTGGCTTACAACACACCGGATGGTGCTTAAAGCGGTCAGCCGGTTTCGTTCATTGTGCTTAGGTAACGCAGGGTTGTGCTAAACGCTGACGAAAAGGTAAACATGAAAGGTACAGATGCAGCCTTCTAATTACTGGCAGAAGAGCCTCAACCAGACGGAGCTCAAGATGGGTCCTTCTTGAGAGTATTTGGCCTACTCTTATACGCCGGTTAGACGTCTTGAGAGAGGAGTGTTTACCTCCACTTTACCCCACGACAATCGACTAACTGGTTCACTCATTTATCGAGTTTTGCTAGGAGATCAAACTGGCAGCCTATGGATTGCAAGGCCAGTGTGCTCAACATTACGCAGCGGCAACAACCTACAATTATTTCTACAAAACTACATTTTGTGTCGCAGTGGTGAGATGTTAACTCCCTCGCTTGGTATACAGGAGGAAGTGGGTTCGATGCCGATGCTGACACCTACATATTTGGAGTTTGCATGTTCTCCCCATGGTCGCTTGTATTTTTCTCCCGAGTATTCCTGTTTTTCCCTCCATATTTAGAAACGTGCGTTTAGAGTATTTGGCTGCAATAAATCTCCACATGATAAGCCACTTTGTTGGGCTATCATTTGTGACCAGCTCGCTTCTTAACAAAATAGCTATATAGCTCAGTGGGCCTTACCTGGTAAAATAAAAATAGTTTTTAGTAAAAAAAATCAAGATAAAATTTGCACTAAAATTCACGTTGCCATCGCGTTCCTTGTGTATTCTGTGCTGGCGCTGTGAGTGTCAGTCACTACCGGGAGTAGATGCTACCCGTCACAGTGATTTGCCACAGCACTTCATTATCTGTGGCATTTGTCAAGCACCACGCGTGCATGGCATTTCATTTAAAATGTCAAATGGTTGGGCATAGGGGTGCCACGTCTGTAATCTGGGGTTGGTGGCTCACGACTGCTTCATCCTACACTGCTGGGTGGATACGAGGTGCCCAGCAGGGTGCAGTAGAGAAAGTATTTTTTTAGTATCGTGGGTTTTATTTAATCTCCTCTTGGTTTGCTTTCACGCATTGAAATACTCGCTAAGGATTTGGTGAAACGTCCATTCGAGTCGGTCAGGTTTTTCTGTGTAAATTTAATTGTTATTGTGAGGTGTTTAGCGATGCATTACATCCCATATATGGCTCATGGTAGAGAGATATCCTTTGCTTGTAAGATCGGCAGTTCACCATCATTGGTTCAAGCAAGTGTGACCCTGCTGATGAGACACTGTATGTCGTTACCTGTCCTGAGTTTGCTTGTCTTGAAATCAGTGTTGCTGAAATTATGCACTCCCAGAAGGCTGTGCTGTTATGTAAGAAATTCTTTGATTTTTTACGTAGAGAGATGAATATATGGAAGAGACGTTGCATATATATTTAATTGTATGACAGGATCTTGAGATATGGTGGCATCTTGAGGGAAGCTTTCATTCAGCAGTGGATTGACCATGGCTGACAACGATGATGAAGATTAATGATGCATTGATTGTTAAATGTTGTAGGTGAAGAGAAAATGTGATCCCACAGCTGCTAGAGGTCACTACATTCACCCCGATGTTATACAATGAAATATTAAAATACAAAATCAAATTGCAAACCTGAATAGCAACAATTCTGATGAGGGGAGGGGTGGGTGGGTGGGTGAATCATTCCACCCGTAATAATTATAGTCACAATTCGAAAATATTGCTCATAAATAATAGTCGTCGAATACAAAGGCAAACACAATCTTTGCTCAGTGCGGAATTGAATGCGCCTGGGCAGCATTAAACAATAGCTTTGTTCTCTGTGGTTCCTTTGTAGTTTTTGTTTTTAATCTCGTAGGTGGAAACAAAAAAATATAGCGTTCACTTAAAGAATTGAGAACATCACACGGAATCAAGAATCGCGTCGGCTCGACCGTACGATGAGACGGGTTTCCCCTCCCTCTGCCACTGGCAATACAAGCGCAGACATGAAACGACGTCTGGAGGAAATAAAAAAAAAACTGAATGGGTTTTTTTTATCGTGCGGCTTTTCTGTTGCCCACATTCAAAGTTTCATTTTGTGAAGTAACAAGAGTTGCATGCCGCAAGGCCGAAATCTATTCGGGATATAAAAAAAAATCATCACGAGGCACGACAAGAGTGAATTTCCCGGCGCCTTTGCGCTCGTGTTCCCGCAACACACCGGTTAATTGGCTTTTCGTTACAGGAGACAGACAATTATTGGGGACACACGGTGTCCATTAGATGGGTCCCACGTGCTGCTGTCATGGCCGCTCTGGCCCGCGGTTTCCATGGCAGCCCGAGGCCCGCGAACCGTCCACGATGTTGACGGCTGGCGCGTGTTCTTGGGGTAACCTCGATCGCTTGCCTCTGACGGGGCTGCACACACATGTCCAGGCGGGTCGCCCCCGGAAACGATTGTGATGTCAACGGGGTCAACGGGGTCAGCGCGGTCGTCTGCTTAGCGGTCGTCGCCCAACGTGTCGGTGAACCCGGCAAGCTGAGTTCGATCCCCAGCCCCTCCTTTACCAATCCGCACCGACCAGCATGGTGATGGATGGTCAGACAGCCTTCTTACACGGCGTGGGGAGGCCTCCTTCCACTAGTGGTTGGGCACACGGCTGTGTTTTATATATATACCACGTTGCAATTATATTTATCAACGATAGACAAGAAGGTTAGCGAGTTATAAACCGATTGTTAATGAGAAGCACAACGGATTTTTGCAAACCCCAATGTCATCTTAAATTTCACAAGGTTATGTTTAATAAATTATAGACTGTCAATCCACTGCTCGTTGGAAGATCTCCCCATGATGCGACGTTCGTGCGAGTTATTTAACTATGCTTAGCTACACTGGTCTGGTCAGTAGAAGTTGCTGAAGGATTGTGTCCCGGGAGTAGTTCAGACATCACTCGCCGCTGATTGTAAGCCGTGGCCGGGCAGTCGGACTTGGGTCACTGCAAACCGGAGCAGTGGGATGCACAGTGCAGCGTAATTCACCGCCGCTCATCACCCCTGTGCACGCGCGCGCGCGACTTATACTTGGGTGGGCAACGCGCCGAGCCGGCGTGGCACGGGAACAACCAAAGGCCTGGGCCCTGAGATCGAACCAGCTGCGGCGTC